AAAATATTAAATAAAAATATAATGGTCCCAGTGAAACTGTTCCTAATCTGTCCACCCCAAGTACTTTGTGCACGTGCTGTGACTTATAATTGATTGACAGTTRCTTCTGTTGGTATACATACTTTTCACAGTGACCACGAACTCGCACGTGGCAGTGTTTCCAGCCTTGTCATAAGCCGTGTAGTATACATTCCACGAACCAAGACCAAATACCTCTCCACTTTTTCGCGTCRATGTTACCTTGGTGACGCCGACATTGTCGGAAAAGGCTGGCTCTTGCCACGTGACTGTTGCTGAGGATGTGGTTGTCAATACTCCGACTGGGCTCGCGGGACAAGGCGTAACGATTTTGGGRTTTTCTTTGTCTGCAAGGGAAAAAGATCACTGGCTACGTTTAGAAGAAAACAAAAAAAYGGAAGGAAATTGTAGAATGCAATTGCCCTATTTCAATATATCGTTAAATTAAGTTGTTAAGACAAGAGAGAATGGCGAAGAACCACGAGAATTTGGGCTAATTTTACTCTGAATTGTAGCTCTGATATGTCTGGTCTGGGGACGTTTTATAAGCTGGTGTTTATGATCCTACAATATATATGGTATTTGGTGRCTATAATTGCTTTTATRTCCTRAAAACTACAATGTTCCGCATGTTAAATATATACCTTTCCTGCAAGCATAGTGCATTGTGTTCTAGATTAAGTGTAAATATATTTTGTTTAACTCGTATGGTTGTTTTTGTAGCGAAGCTAGACCACGATGGATCAACRAACACGGAAAAGGCCTATATTGTATTATCACGTGTGACGTCATTACGAATMAATTGTTATAGGTAGAGGAACTGTGACGTCATTATTATCCATTTTTTTATAGCTTTGATTGGTAAAGCATTTAGACGTAATCCATCTATGRTGAGATTCTTCTGACCAGAGAACCTATTTATCACTGAAGACTGTGATACTAATTTTAACATTCCCTTACCATAGACCATGACAAGTATAGAACAAGAATCAGAACCAGCAGMGTTCCTGGTCGTCCAGGTAATCTTGGTCTCACCAGCAGGGAACCGGAACTTAGCGTTAGCTGTCGGTGGATCGACAAGGAGAATTTCACCAAGATACGATGGCTCTTTCCACAAGGAACTCRCGTCTGCTGTTTTCTGGCCAGGAGCTAAGTTGACCATGATATCAATGGGACAYCGAATCCATGGCTTTACAACCACTACAAGAGAATCGCCATAAGTCAAGCATTATTAACAGGTACTAGCTGTTTCACCTCRCTCTCATTCTGTACTGATTACATGATCCCATCCACTTTCAAGGTCGTTAGCGCTAAAATCATTAAAAATAAATGGATTTGAATCGATATCTTCAGCTTAGGAGTAATGTTTTACCAATTCAAGATCAGAGGTGCTTACCGTTTACCAGGAAATTAACCGGAAATTCCGGTTGGAAAACGAACTTCTTGCAATTAAGATTATCCACTTTTCCCGCTCTTTTCGGTTCTTCCGGTAGACGCGTGTACCRTTTTTTGAAAGACAAAGTTTCCCGCTCTTTTCTTACCATTAGCCAATGAATGTGAAACGAGTAAARGCGCGATTGCACGGACCAATTTTCTCTGCAACTTGTCGCAACAGCGTTACGACACAAATTGCAGGATGGTTTACGAATTCTAGTTTATGGCAACAATYGCTGCAACCTGTCTCGCAGCATTTCTTTTTTTAAATTGCGCTGTAGGTTACACGCTGCAATGCATCATGCAACTTGTGTCGCAACGCCGTTACGAGACAAGTTGCAAAGAAAATCACTCGTGTAAACACGCCTGTAAGTTGTGCTCAATTTTCTACCATGGCAGATAATAGGTAATAGTTAAAAACTGCTGAATGTACCTTTAATGCAGGTTGGCTTGGATCCCGTCCATGTTTTGTCGGCGCGACATTCTCTCACAGGCGATCCACTCAGCTGATAACCTTTGTTACAGATGTATGTACATTGTCCCTGGTACTTGTTTCCCTCGGTTAAACAACTTGATGGCAATAGTCTTCCATTGGTTGGGGCAAGCAGTACGGGACATTTGACCGCTAGTCAAGCAAGCGAAGAGGTCAGTAAATAATATACGAGTTGAAAACAACTTTTGAAATGGCTTTCAAATTCAGGGATTTTGATTGGATAGTGCGGCATTCTCATAATTTATGATTGGTTCAAAGCAAAAACCATTTGAGAGTCGTGAATGTCGTTCTCTCTTCTTATTCATTGGTGTAATTAGAAAAACATTACCCTACACATGGCTTTCAAATTTACTCACAATCCTGGGCCAACTAGTCTCGCACACAGCCGCTTTCAGTGTCGTCACGCAACGCTTTCTCCTCTACTCAGGGGAGAAAGCGTTGCGTGACGACACTTAAAGCGGCTGTGTGGGAGACTAGGGCCAACAAGCCCAACACTGAATACCGTGCATGCCCACCTTAGTTCAGAAGGTCAGAAGGTCAGAGGGTCAGAGCGTCAGAATATATAATATTCGTACCTGTACATCGTGGRGTGTTTGTATTCCATTTCCCATTAGCACCACATGAAACTGAATTAAGGTTGGGGTTTTCGAGGACATAGCCATTCTCGCAGCGAACAGTACACACATCGCCATAATAGTTAGCCCTGYTTTGAGTGCACCGAGCAGGCTCGATGATACTCTTGTATGGCCTTGCTAGGGGAGCACATTCATCTTCTACAGAGATAAAAAAAAAACAAAGGTTATCCTTATGGTCAACGGTTCTCGACTATACGAATACTTAACTCGCAAGATTTTAGACTTCTAAGACAAGGAATTCTAAAGAAATTATTATTATTATTATTAT